ACCCCCCCCCCCCCCTCCCTCGTCGGCAACATTCCCGGAAAAAATCTTTTAGGTGCGCTTTTCAATATCCTAAAGTGCCCCTGGAAGCCGGTGCCCCCCCCCAACATTTCGATGCTTCCTACGCCCCTGTGTAAGGTTAGACTATACTAGAGGGTCTTGTATTAAATTGTTGTAGCTCCAATTATATTAAATTTATTGTGGATATAATATATAACAGTATTACAATATACATGTAGAGAAAACAATGCGAGTGTACCGATAAATGCTAGATATTAATGACTTACCGTCACATTCGCATGAAAAAATATGTAGACAAAGTAAAACGCCAAATATATAGGCAAAACTTGACATTTTACGGATGCTTGAACCTATTAAATAATAAGACTGATTAAGACAGAATAATACTTTTGAACCAACTCTGAGACTGTATACTTTCGCTAGCGAAAGCCTTTAATATTTACGCATGTATAAAATATACATTCATGCAGAACTTTTCAAACTTTGGTCATCCAATTTTCATCCACTGACCACTGTATTGAGCTAAAATTTGTTTTGGGTCATTCGCTCCACAGATTTTCGTAATACTTATATCTGGCGGTTTGTTGAGTTATACTAATTAATATACGACACACGTTTACAAACACACACATGCGCACACAAACCGGGGTAGGAAAACATAACACTCTGACGAGGTAACAAATTTAAAAAAGAATACATGTATGTACAGTTGAATACAAACTGCAGACTAGCAGTAGGCCTACTATAGTAATTCATATTGTATACACTATAGTCAGTGTTGATTGTACTCATATCTGACGATATATTTAACATGAATGGGCTTTCCCAAATGTATAACATGGTTATTACAAATGTTGCCGATGCTAACAATACCGTGAGGTTGTATTCGTCAAAGATAGACACCGAGCCAGATCGGAAATAGACAATACTCTGGTTCTATTTCCTTGTTTGATGCTTCTCTCGATTAATTCATCCGGTGTCGAAAAGCTTCGAAACAGAATTGTAACTTGATAGTCTGCAAACAGCTTGCCCCGGTGACCAGTTGATTCACATTATAAAATAAGTTTAATTCATATAAAATGAATCAGGCGTGCAAACTGATTAATGTATTCAAACTGATTAATGTCTACAAATTAAATTTTAATAGTACTGTAAGTCTTCAATTGTATATTTAATCACATGTCACATACGTACTTGTTTAATACCTGTAACTTAAATTTTGCTAACTTCTCAACCGAAGGGCCTTCTCTCGAAAGGTCAACGTTTTGCTTTTATTTTTCAAGTAGTTATTATATCCTTCGCACAGGCAAGCAGCTTCCTGTTGTCGTCTCTACCTACATTGGCAGCAACCGTTCAAGATTTTAACATCCGCTATACCGCTCAGAACGTCGAACTGAGCAGGTAAGAAATTGCGCATATCCCGATTCCCGAGTGAAGCAAATTTGGTCACACATACAGTCTCTAAAGCCCGTTCTCCACTAGGCGATTTTTTTCGCGCGAAGCGAAAAACAATCTTGGCAATGTGATTGGTCAGCGAAAAAGTTGGATCAGTTCCTACTTTTTACTGTTTGCGCGAACAACTCGCCTAGTGGAGAACAGGCTTTAGGAAAATTGACAGAAGCACTGAGCACCTTGAACTTACCAAGTGAATTTGGCATAGCAATTTTGAATAGCCTGATGAATGATTTTGTGTACAACTTCCATGATAAATGGGCATTTGATCGAATGCACTAGGTGTTGGGAACTGTGCGCATGCGCCAGAGCTAACAAACGAAAAATGTCCCGTAATTATTGCCTCAACCATCTATTTAGTCCAGATAAAATCTTCACTCTTTCTTCCTTACGCACACACCCACACGAAAATCACGTTCACAATGTTCTCTGGCTAGTTGAATATATCCCTTGACGGTTATAGATCTGAGAACCGAAAGCTCGTAAGTAAAAACAACTAGCCAGAGAATGTTGTGATTTCTTGCTCGATTGTCCCGAAAAATTGTCAGGAAATGGAATGAAATTGCGGGGATTAGCTAACCATGGATAAATGTGAGTAGAAAACGTGAATCGAGATAATGTAATATATTCAAAACCTAGAGCCAAAGTGGCGAATCCAACTTCAGCCATAAAGAACTTTCAGGTCTTTTTAAATAATTGAAGCAAGAATATGTGACATGCTGGATAAAGTATATCAAATGGAACGTGGAGGCACCGTCGTGATGGCAACGGTTCGTCAACGCTTCACAAAATGAAAGTAATAAAGACTGTTTACCGCGGAGTCGGCGTAATAAATGTTACTGGGCCAAAAGGACATTCTACAATTATATATTCTATATTCTACAATTAAACACATTTAAAACTAGGGATATCTATAATTTACATATTGAATGCTAGGTTTAGTATAGTAATGGGAAATCGTGGTTCACGTGTATGTCTGAACAATGAAGCACTGCATGATTATAGTAATAAGTTATATTTTAATAATGCATGCATCTTCTGGCGATTTATGTGATCTTACAGCACAATGTCGTTACTGGCCAATGAAGTCTTGGATTTTTGTGCAGCTTGGGACACATGTTGGCTCCGAGGATACTTATGAGTCATCGAATAAATAATTTTTAAGTGAAGACAAAAAGTCCATATATTTATCCAGTTTGGCCACTATTTCCTCGGGCGTCCAATCTTGTTCAGGTGAAAGCAGGGCTTCAGACCACGAATTCATTACAACCCTTATACCAAACTACAAAAAAGTACAAATTTATCATTTGGATAAGCACGTCATAAATACCATGTTGTCCTGGGCAACTTGTCTTTATGAACATTGGAGTTAATCTTGGCAATACGTTTACCAATACGTTGGCAATATGAAATGGCCACATGGCCATGCAGGATTAATTGAAGGATCTGCAGTGCCCTAAAGTCACATCACAATGCCCGTACTCAGCGAGTGAGTAATTAAAATTCGAGCGACCAAAAAGCCAAATAATGAGTAGAATTTTTTAATTGTTTATAAAACATTTTCTACCTAATTTGTAAATACGTTATGAATAATGATGGTGTATTTAATAAATTAAACCCTCAAAATAAGCCGATTTCATAAATCATTTCGCAGAACGGAGAAAAAATGCCTTCAAATAAACATCGTAATTGAGATTTACCCTTGTGCAACAGATTTGGACGTCGAAAAGATGTCGTTAAAAGCTTACAAATGTGCTATACTGGAATAAAGATCAGGGTTTTAACTGACATTTAAAGGACATTGGCAATTAAAAATTAGTTTAGTTCATTTGAAAGAACTCTTAAACTATATATATATATATATATATATATATATATATATATATATATATATATATATATATATATATATATATATATATATATATATATATATATATATATATATACTCCTCTCAACCAATCAGCATCCAGTACTTTTGTCATGCTAATAATAACTAGTATTAATCCAGCATCGTACATACTAGTCCTGCGAGTGTTATATTAATTTGTGTTATTGTTCACTTGGTAGTATGATAAGGATGAAATGTTCTCGAGTGAGATATATCATAATTTCCCGACAGCGCACAAGCGAAAACTTTGCTTGCCTCGGTTGGTTTCGAACCCCCGACCTTCGAGTTACCAGATCGATGTTCTACCAACTGAGCTACACGGTCAGGACGGATTGAAGAATTAATATAACACTTGCAGAACTAGTATGTTCGATGCTGGATTTAATATAAACTAGAAAATACATGCATGCAGAAACCCTCGCCTTCTGGCAAAACCATTGTATTTTCCGAACATGAAGTATTTAAAGTAGTTGTCATGGTAACACGATAATTTTTAAGAGTATTTTTACAAATGAAAAATCCCCTAAAAATATCACTTTAGTTGTAAAATTACTAATTTCCCAAACATATTTTTGTTAGGTATGTTATTATACGTAATATAAGCTTCAAATTCAACCACAATATGCTTAGCAAAACGTTTTAAAGTGTCCTTTATAAAACTGTACTGCCTTTTGGCTTTATCGATAAACTTTGAGTTTGAAATAAAATGATTTCAAATTCTCGCATGCTTTCGTTTGTATTTAAAAAATTTAATATATAAAAAAAAGGGTAGTTAATAAAGTATACACCGAAATTATATGCTGTTTTGTTTCGTTTATACGCAATGTTTATATACGATCGGCTTTTAAAGCAATTATAAAGCAAACAATACATTATTCATTAATATTTAAAACAAACTTACCTTCTTTAACGTCAGCGCCTTTGCTCCCTTCTTTTAGTCGATTCTCTCGTCCTTTTTTCCTAAAAAGCTTTTGAAATTCACAAAATCTTGCAAAAATGAAATATACACTGTAAAAACTGATTAGTCGAGATGACCAAAAAAAATTGGTCACCTGGATGCATCTGAGAGAACCAATTAAAAATGGTCGTTTTAACCAATAAAATTAACCATTAATTCATTGGTCATTTCAACCAATAGTAATTGGTTAATATAACCAAATATTTTTGGTTGTTTTGACCAATTAATAAAATGGTTAATTTTATTGGTTAAAACGACCATTTTTAATTGGTTCTCTCAGATGCATCCAGGTGACCAATTTTTTTTGGTCATTTCGACCATTTTTTTTTTGTCATTTCGACCAATTTAATGTCACAACTTATACACTGCATTAAAATGAAGAAAATTTGTGAGTCTTACATCACTGAACATGTATACATGGAATTTAATAAAAAATATATCAATACAATATAATAAGACAATTAAATAAACTAGAGCTACCGGTACCTTAGAACTCTGTGAGAGCAATTGCAAAGGAATACAATTACAATTGCTGTGTTGAGTGGTTATATTACTACCTGAAAAAAAAAAACAAGCAGAAAGTCAACATTTCGAGCGAAGGGTCTTTGCTCAAAACGTTGAGTTTCTGGTTGTTTTTTTTAAGGTAGTAATTTAACCACTCAGTACAGCAATTTCACATTGGTACTACCCACCCTGGTACTGGTACAAACAGTTTTAATACAATTACAAGCCTGCCAGCATGAATTGAACCTGCAGCCCTGCAATTCTACTGCAGCCCTCTGACTTAAAGAGTCCTTTTGCCAAGATGTAACCATAACTTTCTGTATAATTATACCGTGATGGTGGTGTCACTGGTAGTATATTAAATAAACTGGGATGACACTAGTATTGTATAAATGAACTCTTGGTTAGCTTGATAAATTCTTGGCGCTTGGACTCTCAGGGCTTGATGGACTCTCGGCTGTTAAGGAACTGTTCAGAATCACAGGGCAACAGGTTCCATTCCCGGCACAGTACTTATTAGATAGTTCAGTATTGTTCAAAATTTCCATCTACAGAAATTTGGCTTTAACCCATCCAGGTGATCTTGATACGCGGAAAAGTACTGGCACTAGTTGTCTAATAGAAATCCATTTTACGATTAAAACAACTGAATATCTCCTGTAATATACTTTATTTCGATTCCATATTTTTGTCAGAGCTATAGTTCTCATAACCAAACATAATTACAAAATTTCAACTAGTTTCATAAAGAAGAATGAAAGATATAATTGACTGAATGGATTTCTATTCGGACAACCCTTTCTGAGCGCTGATTGGCTAAAATACGAACACGAGATCACCTGGATTGAGTGGCAGCACTCTCTCTCCTGTCTGTCATTGTCTGACATTAGACAGAAAAAATAATAAGGTAGAGCGCACTGCCACATAAAAGGTTAACATTCTCTTCAATGTAGAATATTTACAAGTTAGTATATCTGTACTGCATGTAGTGTTACTGCTCAATCAAGCATGTCATACAAGTCCATTAGGCATTAGTTAAAATTTAAAATTTAAAAGTACAAGCTTCATACCACAAGTCAGCAACTCCATTTCTTGTGTGGTTTGTTAATTAATCCATAAACATACTCTCCAGCAAAAGAATAACATTTTCCAAATAAACTATGCAGTACTTAAAATGCCATTAATGATTATATATATTGTCACTTGTTTAGACAACTTGCCTTCTCCTGGGAAGCTTTTATTAACTTTTCACTCAGCATCAGGATATATAATGAATCCATATTAAATACAATCTCTATTAAGAAAAAAATATATATTAAGGTTGATATATAATGGTAGCAAATTATTGATTGATTGACAGTGAATTTCCTATTTTTGGTTAGTGTACAAAGCAAGAAATACAAAATTCAAATGCTTTCACTTGACATGTTTAATGTAAGGCTAGCATGCAATTGAAGAAACATCTGCATCCAATACAACTATTCTCACTGGTAAAGGACTGTTTAAAATACTGGTGCATAACAACTGTTTTTTCCAATTGTGGTGACCCTGTCCTAGTTGGCAAAGCTAAATAAATAAACATAAGATACTGCCTCAATTGACCCAAAATGTTGCTAATGCCAAACTAAGATTTTCCATATAAACTATATACAATGACCTAGGATTTGGCACATTATTAATGCTTTGTTTCGGCATAATGTAATCTTCTAAATGACATTTCCCAATCAATTTGAATATTAACCCATTAAGCTGTAGAGTTGGAGTTTCCCCATTGACGAGTAAAATCATTTGGCCAGAGGAGTAACTTAACACTTGTCTGGGGCAAGTGAATATCATGATGGGCAAGTAAACACTTCATCTTGCTGCCCGATTGGGCAAGTTGCCTTGCCACTATTCATTGTCTTCATTGCCAGATATATTTTGTTTTATAGTGCATGGACTTGGTTCAAATTTAGTTTTTTTGTGCACCAAAGTTATATCTGAGGCAGTATAACATAGCCGTATGGCGCAGTGGGAGAACAGGTTGACATGTTGTCCCCTTAATTTATACCCCCTACCTAGGTACCCCAAGTGGCCATTGTCTGATGGCAAGTGAATTTTATTCAGAGCAACTAATCTTTATGACGTTACACCACTGCTGGCGGTAGACAAGTAAATAAAATAAGTAGGTCGCACTAGGGCACCTACTTGGGAAAGGCTGTCTACATGCTATTAATGTGATCGAATATATACTAAAACTGTCTTTACCAGTGTGGGTAGTACCAATGTAAAAATACTACCTTAAAAAACAACTCGAGTCGACGTTTCGAAATTTATGAACTAAAGGCCCTTCGTCAATAGTGTAATTATGCATTTCAAACAAATCACATATATTAAAGTATACATATCAAGTGTCAACATAGCAAATACTTAACAGAACAACACACATGTATATCAAAGAAATAAGCCGTATACGATTTTGTTAACAATACAGATAAGTAGAGACTGTTATGTAAATCGAAATTTACAACTGAACGTTTAGATGCCTTCGTAAAATCAAATCGGCACAAAGCGACTATAAAATACAGGCCTTCAATTTAAAAATATAACTACACAGTCTGTCAAGTAACTATCCGCATACAAATAAGTAAATACCATGGATAATAAAATAAATGGATAGGACTCTAGCTGACGTAAGCAAAAACAACCTAGTTGCAATCTGTGACGTCACGCGTATTGCAAAGTTCTCGGCATTTTTGTTGTTTCGCTATACTTTCCGCTTTAAAAGAGTAATATTGAAGCACATACTGGTCTAATTGTTTTAAAAACATGCCTAAGCCACGACAAAGTATTCAAGGTAAATGTTTTTCGTCTTTGTTTTGTATTTTTTTACATTTGTAGCTACGAAATTGGCGTCCCCAATTTTAACGAAATTTGGGATGCCTTTTTCACTGTTTAGTGCTTGAAATATTTGCTATCGTAGAATGGCGTAGTTACATTCATTTGCTTTTTGACTAAAATGTTTAGCTGTATTATTGCTAAACATGCCGTTTTTGAGAATTTGGTTTGCAACTAGGTTTCAACATCCAATCACGCCATCAGCTCATTGAAAACATTAGGTCACGTCAGCTAGTTTCCTATCCATTTATTTTATTATCCATGGTAAATACACAAGAGACATACCTTTGAAAACAATCTCCTTGTGTTCTATTAAGTCTTTGGATCTTTATAAGCAGAAAATTTGAATATAAATCTTTCCTGTTTGAATGTTTGCTCCCAAAAGATCGAACTTAGCGCGCTGGTGTGAAAAGATTGAATTACTACAACACGTGATATATTCTAAGCATGGGTTATTTTGATTATGAGTAAAATTTACTCCGTTATTCTGTTTGTGAGTAAAATTTACTCCGTTATATTTTACTCCTTTAAGTGGAGTTAAATTGACCCTCAGTGGAGTATATGTTCGACTGCATATATAGAAGACGTAGGAGTAAATTTAACTTGAAAATTTTCACTCCCAATTTTTAATTCTCAGTGGAGTTGAAATAACTCCTTGAAATTAACGGTGAACACTCAACTAAAGGACCAATAAAAAGTTGGTTATAATATTAACTTATATAAATTGGTCGAAAGATGACCAACTTTTTCGACCAATTTGTAATAGTCAAAGGAACCAAATTTAATTGGTCAAATGCGACTAACTAATTAAACAATTGGTCAAAATAACCAATTGCCAATGGTTGCAACCTAAAAAATTGGTCATTTTAACCAATCAGTTTTTACAGTGTATTTGCAAGAAATCATCAAATCAAGAAATGTTTGCTATTTCGCTGTCGTCATACAGTCGTTATAATGCAAATTTTAAATTTGACCAATCAGTGTTCGCTATTCATGACAGTCCGCCATATTTTTGAGATCAGTGAGGATGACTACCCACCGTTGGTCACCCACGTCCGCGATCATTGATGAACTTTAGACTTCGCTAATGCTTAATGCTTTCGTTTCCCCGGTTGTAAATAGCCGGGGGAAATTAGTATCCTCGCAACGGGCTTACGCCCGGAACGGCGCTCCGCGCCGTTGGCTCGGGGACGAGTACGTTTATGACATTCAGTATATAGTTCGCAATTTCCAGTCTTCAATCCGTCCTGACCTACACGGTCGAAACGGTAAAAACAGTTTATCAGAAAAAGCAGTATATCAAATGAATATCAAAATGTGATTTGTGAAATTAAGAGCCGTTTCAAAATTGTTTACTTTTTTATACACCCTGTATAAAGATCGATGGTAAGGACAACAGAACAAAACAAAACAGAACATAAGTCCCTTTCTAAATCCCACCGAATCATTACAAGACAAAGATTACATTGTACCTACAAAACGAAATTGAACGATTACTAATTGGCTTGCTTGAGGGGTAAATTCTGATTAAGATAATCGATCGATTATCGAAAATCACCTACTAATTTATAGAAAATCAATCAATGAATGAAATCATTTCTCAACTAGTTGCAGTACTTCACACCCCCAGCTTTCTGTTATTCTCTCTATGCATGGAACACATGGGCCTGAGAAATATCTCGGCTTCTCCGTATGAACCTGCATGTACTAAACCAAGGGCTATACAAATTGAAATGGTTAAATATAGCCTTGTTACGTCTGATTACCCCCATTTTTCATTTCATAAAATGTTTTTGACTGGTAGAAACATCCTGTACAGCCAATTTAAAAAAAAATTTTAACATGGTTTTTTAAAATAATTTTTTATTTGGTTCTACAGAACTTTTAACTCGTTCAGATAGTCTATCGTACCAAAAGGAAAGGCTTTTGTCCAATAAAATTTGTGTTTGCTTGTGCTTTTAAAGTAAAGTGCGTTATAACCTAAAATATCGGCCATATTGAATGTTTCTAGAGCAACAGTAGTGACGTCATTATTTGTGACCAATTCTTAGACTATTGTAAGCTACATTCCTCGACAAAACTGGTTAAGACTGGAATTTATTGTAAGACATGGAATTAATTTATTGCAAGTCCCATATACCATGCACTTACAATAAATTCCATGTTGAATCATGGGCTTCTTAAGCCCCTGCTTCCCCAACTCAATGCTGAGATTGTGCAGTCATGAAAAATTTCCAAAAGTTGTTTCGGCGTTATTCACAATATTGGACTGGAGAAAGGTGACGAAGTTTGTTTTGTCAACGTGCACTAACTTTGCAATATTGGCTGGAACGGTTGCAAGGGTCATGTCCAAAATTGTAGCTATCTCACATAGTATTGTTTAATTAAATGGGTCATAGATTTTGTATCGAATCGACACCAAAGGAACAAGCTAGCTGGAGATTGTTACTCGTAGTGGGGAGCAATTTCATTCAGGGTACCACAGGCACCAAATTGGGCCTATGGCCATTCAACTTGATGATTAAGGATCTAGACATTGCCTCGCAATGGAAATTTGTTAAAGATACTGCAACGTCGGAGATCATTGAGAAGGGACATGTCAGTAACGCTCAGAGTCTAATCAATGCCTGCTCCACCAAATTAGGAGCATTCATAGCTTTCCATGTTGCCAGTTCCACTGGTCAGATTATTATTAACAATTTATTAAAAAATTACGAAAGTTAGATTTGAGATCATGTTTGTCCACTTTTTTCGTCGTTGGGCCATTTTTTCTAATGTTTTCCGTCTTTACCAACGTTCATCTGTCTAACGTTTCTAACGTTTGTCCGCTTTTCCATCGTTTGTCCCTCCTTTCCAACGTTTCCCGCCTTTTCCAACGTCTTTCCGGCTTTCCGGCTTAAAGTTCGTTCGTCTTTTCCAACGTTGTCCATCTTTTCAAGCGTTTTCCGTCCTTTTTAACATTTTCCGTCTTTTGCATCGTTCGTCCGTCTTCTCTTACGTTTCTCCGTCTTTTCCATCTTTTGTTTCTTCAATAAACTGGTTTGAAACCTGTCATAGATTTTGTACGGCATCATGCTTTCTCTATTCACTGTAGCTCAACCAATCAGATTGCAGAATAGACCACATACAGTGAATGGCCATATTATATTCTTATCTATTTAAAAGAATTGATGATTTCTGATTGGCTTAGCTAACTCGTGATATCAACTCAATAGCTGACCAAATGTGGAGTTTAGGCACAATATTCAGAGGAGCGATGTTATAAACTTGATATGGAAAAAGGAATATTAAGCTCTATAATGTCATGCTAAAAACGACTGCCAAAGGGGTGAGGAATTGTGTCACAACACAAACAAGGCTTGCTACAACCAGATGCTGCCTAATCTAATTTAAAATAGAGAATAAAACAATTATTGAACTCGGTTTTCCCATGATATGAGATATTACCAAGGCCTTAGTTTGCGTTATTCACTCTGTTGATCCACACGGTTGATAATCCAAACTTTGGGCAGACAATAATAATTGTTAAATAGTTGACATCATTTTTGTGAAATAAAAAATTTTAAAAATATGTTTGATACCTTTACAACATTAACACCTGGATTAATCTCGTATGTACAGCTTTAATTACTAAACTCATCAATTCAGTGTCCTTGTTTATAAACTGCCCTAGCCTATTCATGTTTTCGGTTGTTTTTAAATTCACGTGGTTTTTTGTGCCTCTGATTTCCCACAATGAAATATCTTCACGCATTTTACAATTTCGCACGTCTTCAAACAGCACTGTAATGTTTCATGCTGTCTCATAATCCCTCCTGCTAGCGCTATATCCCGGTCATATTGTTACTGGAAATCTATAATAATTATAACAATAATAATATTATGCGCATTATTATAATGCATAAGCAATTAAATGTGGTCCAAGAATCAATGAATCCAACTCACCCCTTCAATCCCGAGTTTGTATCTTTAAATCCTAAGATATTAAATCCTTGCACAACGATGAAATCGTTGAATTCTAAGTAAGTACAAATATATCCTTGACACCTTAGATTGAATCAACGAATTCTAAGATTAAACCATGACTCTCAGTTTGAAATGCTGATTTTCTGCAATCGAATAAGCCCGCAATAGACCTTTTCCCTTACGAGTGAAATTTTGATCTAGATATGCCTGGGCAACAATTTCAAAATTAGTAATATTCCGAAGTTTCGTTGCGAAATGTTGTAAAATGCGGATAATATAGCCTTGGGTCATGGGGTTCAACCTTTTAGACAGCCGGCCAACATTCAAAATTCGTTTGATGGAATTGCTTGTTACAAGCTGCCGATTGTTATTTTTCTTAAACCTGGCAGCTCGGCCGATTTTGGCTTTCAAGGCAAAAATTTGAGAGGTTGAAAATCTTGGCTGTTAAATATTTTTACCCTGAAGCTTGTATTTTCATTATAGTTTTCAATCGTTCGCTGGAAGAAACAAATAATGTTGAATCCATTTTATTCCTGTAGCAACTGCGATTAATTATTTGTTTATAATAAACCTTATTCATAAATTGTGATGAGGCCTCATATCCTAGGAAACGGGGGAAAACGCGGGAAAATTGAAAAAAAAAATTTCTCTGTCGGCGATGGCAGGAGTAAATAAAAAAGTTAGCTTTTTTCGAAAATGTATCTATAAAGCTGACCATGAAAGTTGAAATAATACTTCAGAGAAAATATAATGTGATATTTTAAACGTAAAATATGCTGGGGTCAATCGGAAAAGGAAACTTTTGTTTTGTTGTAGTTTGTATGGCCAAAACAAACAACCAACAAGGGCCTTGTACAAGGCCACAAAACGTCTATAACACCAAAATCGTACGAAATATTAAACTATTGTTGAAGAAATAAGATTACAACTCACTCATGCAGGTATTGTATCTTTAACTTTTTAAACATGCAAGCTGCTGCAGAATGCCTTCAACCCCACTCAGGTGACTCAGCCCAGGCACAGTTCATATTTTTTCAATGCGAATCAATAACATTTGACGTTTTTTGTGATTTTTTAACTCTTGTTTTCTTTCATATTCATATCAAATTATAAAATAAACTTACATTCCATAGTTGACGTTAAAATGTCAGTAAAATACTGTTTTTTCGCTTCTGAATATACACCACCGCTACGTTGTCATATTTTTAGACTTTCCACACAGAAAACGGACAACAACCAGTCGCGTCCTTTTTTACTATAATCGTTTATAGCTTTCGTTGTGAGCACAAAATCTTACAACACATACAAAAATCAAAATAAACAACAAGAAACAAGCCATTAAAGTTGACACATTGGCGTCTGAATTTGGCTTCTCAAGCAGCTTTTGCTTGTTTTCCCGCGTTTCCTAGGATACGAGGCCTCGATCGCGATTTAAAAACAAGGTCTTATTTATTAACCCCAAGTCTAAAAGATACTCATTTTCTATTGATTTTTGCTTACACATAAACAGAAGCTCGCTGCCTTAACAAAATTTCTTATCGCTTTACAGCGCGCGGATTAACAGTTACAACAACTTACATAAACATTTGCTTCTTGATTTTAGAAAAATTTGTTCAGAATAAACGCAGAAATGCCTCAAAAGAAACCACAAACTGATGTTACAGACGAAAATGAAATCTATGATCGACTCCATAAGAAAATCAATGAGCTAGGTTCTGATCCATCCTTGTGCGAGGGTAAGATTCGAGAACTGCACAGAACAATCCTTACTGTGAAGAACAACGGGAAAAAAGAACAATTACTAACGGAACTTAAGGCGTCTTCCTTTAAAGGATTAAGCCTCGAGTTAAGCAAATTGGTGAAAGAAGACGGCTTGACTATGGAAAGTCTTCATCTTGTTTTAAAGTATCTGACAAAGAAAAATGAACTTGCGGAGTACCTGTTCGTAACCTCAACAGAAATCATCGAACAAGACGGACTTGATCCCGTAAGAAGAAGATTGGGTCCCAAACTTGAAGTTCTAGGTGGGTTGCTTTCCAAAGGAATAGATGTCAACAAAGAATGGGTGCAAAATTTGCTTAAAAATGCTCCATCTCAAAAAACTCTTGCACGAATTTCCGTCACGGACTTGGAAAAATATTGTGAAAAAGCAACTCCTCGCGAAATGGAGGACGTTAGTCAAATTGTGCGAGTAGCTGAATCGCAGTCGATAGAGAAGCCATCTGATGACCAAACGCAGGTATCCATTGAACAAAATACGAGTAACAAAGCTGTTGATAAAGAAAAGTTGGAGCAAGCCAAAAGTCTAATGAATGAAGCAAAGAAAATAGCGAAAGAAGAGTCTGAAGCAGCGAAGAAAGCAGTAAACGAAAAAATGAGTGAAATTTCAAAACTTCTTGAACTCCCGCCAGATTGGAATAAGCAAGAAACCGGGAAAACCCCAGAGAAATTGTTGGAAGAACTAAATGGGATAATTAATTTATTCAATAATGCTGTAGAACCCAACGAGCCTTACAACAGTGATCATGAAGTTGTACAAAAGGCAAGTGGTGGTCGTGCGTTGTGTGGAATATTCTTTTCGAAGTACCGGGCTTCTTCGACCGCTGAAAGACCACTTATCATCATGCCATCGAAAGTGATGCTGTCGAGCCCCAACAATTCGCACCAAATTCGCTACCTAAAGTTTTCCGCTAGTAGAGCTGCAGCAAATTACGTCCAAACAGTCAAGTCATCCAGCACAAATGTTGGATTTAGCGTCGGTGGATTTTACGAACTGTTTGTCGGTGACGTTCATGGAAGCTACGGGAGTAGTCACGAAACAAACAGTGCAAAATTGGAGAAGGAAACAACAAGCCAAGCTTCAGTTGTCCAGTACATTTGGACTGCAACCAAAACATTCAAGATCGAGCAGGAACAGTTTATCTTATCAGCAAGCGCAAGAAAACACGCAAAAATGTTGGCAAAAGTCATCCAAGACGAAGAAGAAAAGCAAGTCGAAAAAGAAAGCGACGAAGAAAAAAAGCAAGCCGAAAAAGAAAACGACGAAGAAGAAAAGCAAGCCGAAAGGCTGAGAAGCACAGACCTCGCCAAAAAATTCTTAGATCGTTATGGAAGTCATATGCCGGCAGGACTCCACACACTTGGCGGAGTTCTTTTCCGCATTGTTGACGCACAAAGCGAAGGTAAATCAAGTGCGTACCAGCTTACAGAAAAAGCGGCACAACAACTGCAGGGTCAATTGTCATTTGGATTCCTTGGTGGTGCATTCGGTATCGGTATGAGTGTAAGTGGGGAACATAGCAGCAGCGAAGGGAAAAAAACTGCTCAAGAAGAAAAGGAGGAGAAAACCTCGTATACCTTTACCTCGCAAGCAATGGGTCCAGCTGCAACAGATCCAGCTACGTTTAGTAAGCTGCTGGGTAACAATTCGACTTGGGCCTTGATCGACCGCGGTAGTCCTTCTACCTACATTCCAGTTTGGGAGATGATAAATGACCTCGGGTCAGAATTTGAAAAAGCAGCTCAAGTTCTTCAAAACGCGTGGAATAACAAAGAGATGAAATTGAAGAAGCAAAGCAGAAGGCTTGGGAAAGAATTGACAAAGATTGTCGTAGATGATTTGGTGTCGTTTAAGAATGAATCTTTAAAGCAGGTTTGTTATTTCAGTTTTTAATTGTTCAGCATTCATAATAGCCTACATGTTTTTCTTTAATTGAAAGTAATTCTCAAGGCCTAATCGTGTCACGTTTCAGCGAGACAATTTCTCAACAATTTCTCATTTGGACAAAGCAAGAGCATTTTCTACATTTCAGGAACTTGTGACACCATGTAATAAAGAATGACAATGGGTGATATTTGAAATCGAAAATGAACACCGGATTGGAGTCCGAGCAGTCTCTTCCAGTCTGAGGCAAAGCCGAATACTGGAACTAACTATGCTGATTTGAAATCACGTTCTGTTCGAATATAGGTTTAAAATGCCATCAAATAACTAGTTGTCAAAAAGTTATGTTAAACATCTTTTATAATGTTTTTAAGAAAAGTACCTTGGCAAGGATTTGCACTCGCGACATGAAAATAAAAGTAGCGCGCCGTGCATGCCACTACGTTTCTGGCAAAATCATTCAAACTTCGTAAGGATGCAATAGAAAAACGGTGTTTGCCAACTGCTTCAACTGCTAGACCCCAATTGATAATAACAATGAGGATGGAGTAAAAAGATGGATATTACCGGGGTGAAGGGGTTGCATTAATTTAATTCCAGTTTTATGATCAGTAGATTTATAACATGCGATTTATAACATTATAACAGAGGGACCCCTGTCCCTGTGTTATAATATAGACCTTTATTTCTTTCCCAATTATGTAGCACAGTGCAACACTTCGAGCTGCAAGCAGTCATTTCCTTTCAATAAATGTATAATGTCCAGGGTTTGGCCCGGAGGTGCAGGAATTGACTGTTCTAATAGTTATCACAATGGTCTACTTTTTTCACATAAAGAAAGTTTTCTCAAGAAGTAATCGCTCAAACTACTCTAAAAAACAAATTGACACCAGTACATTTGCAACTCATTTAAAATGCATGATTCGTTGCGGTTTCCAACATGTACTGTACTTATAAGATTGTGCGAGAAGCAAAATCATTTAAATGATTGCGAAGTTATCTCTGAGTGTGTCCACATTGGGTAACCTGGAAAGATTGCTATCAGACCACGATGAAACACAAACCTGCGACATTTGGTTTGCTAGTTCAATGCTCTACTAACTGAGCTATGAGGTCAAGTCGGTTCCAGTGGGTGATATTTCAGAACACAGTCTAGTTCCTTCGATATCGGTATGTTTTTTTTAGATCGAAGGAACTACACTGAGTTCCGAAATATCAGCCACTCTAGGCGACTTGACGTCGTAGCTCTGTAAAGGTCCCGGGTTCAATTCCCACTGCGTTCAAGAAAACGTTCCAGCTTGATCCGGTGTGACGCGAAATTCCTGACTTGCGAAATATCTGACTATTGTAGAACTGCGCATCCGCAGACGATGCGCATGAATGACTTTGGCTCATAAATTTCGCAACTGAACAGACAACACGTGTATTTATAAAGCCATTTTATTTATACATAAATTTTCCAACATTAATTCTACAATTGATCAACTGAATTGACACTATACCACTGATTGTGAACGTTATAATAAACCTTGAATCGTAGATATGGAAATATCACTCGAAAAGCGATCTTAGTGATATAAAATAGACTCCAGTTTCAAAGGTTATGCCGTATATGCACTATAAGCACTAAAAATCGTTTCGCGTTTGACCTTCTCGCTATCAGTTAGTAAGCAGCAACGATGAGTTCGAAGTTCATGAGTTGGACGTTTAGATTTGGCGATGTCTATGCTAGAAACATTTGATAATATCGCATATGGACTTAAAAATCGTTTCGACCGACCGTATTTAGCAAACGTCGTGTATTTCGCGGTCACGACCACACAATTCGCTTTGAAATTTAAAGTGTTTGTGATTGAAACTTAGCGATGTCGATTTGAAATATTTAACGAAGTATTAGAAATTAACATCATGATTATTTTATCTAAACTCTAAAAAACAGTTTTGGCCGACTTAGAATTTAGCAAGCCTCATGTATTTCGCGCCTGTACGCGCGAAATTTCTGACCCGTCACGCTAGGTCAGGTATTTAGCAGAGGTCAGGAATTTCGCTTGACACCGGTGCGAGACAACATCACAAACATGTATCTTTACCTGAGTGCATACCATTAGAAACCAAAAAATGATTTAAATGAATTGTTTACAATTGTTTATAATTGTATATCTTACGTGGAACAGTGGCGTAAGGGGGCAATGGCCAAAATTTGCCCGGGGGGCAATAGCTAAAAAACTGCCGTTGTGAAAAGCTGAAATCCGCTCAGAAATTGGCAGTTGGGAGTACGATGTGCATGTGAATATAATGATACCCATCTCTTCTGTTTACCAATAAATGTTGTAGTATTTCCTGTAGTCGCGACCATCGTCAAAGTTTCAATATGGCAGCCAAGTGAGCTTCATTCTTTTTATTACAATATGATTTGCACTTCAAAAACGAAGACATCGTGCTATTTTGCTGTGGTATTTGTGTCTACAGAACAATGTTTTACAAAAATATTTTTCGATCTTAGGCGATTAAAAATCGCTTTTTGTAACGTTTCTTCAAATCTCGTCCTAAAATACGTGAAATATAGCTAGTGTGCTAATGAATGTAGAAATTCGAAAATATCCCGGAGGAGCATGCCCCGGACCTCCCTACATTCCTAACGCCTTTCGCGCTCGCATATTGATTGTCGCAGTTTTGAAACTCAGTTTATTTCAAAATGATATTGGACAAACACGTCACATTGATTATGAACACTATCTATGCATTTCTTATTGTCAAAACTGAATTGAGTTTTTGTACTTTTGCTGATTTCAGAAACCTGACGAAATAGGTTATGGTTTCTTGCCAAACAACGGTGCCCAGTTGGTCTTTAACCGCACCATTTCAACGATTAATCTAACTCCTGAAACAGCTTATAAGATAGCAGGAGACAAGATAATTGAAGACCCACGTCATCGTGTATGTGCTGTTTCCCTTTGTCCAGATGGTAAGTACATGGTGAGATGTTGGGAGGCCTCGGACGCCGCTGAAATGACATTTGAATCTGCTGAAGGCAAACACCAGTTACTTTACAGCCAAATTATATTTAAGTGGAAAGACAATGTTCCTCAAAAGTAGCAAGTATAACTATAAATTTGCTTTTATGTTTTTTAAAAGCCTGTAATGATATAATCCAAACGTACTTTAATTAATACCAAATTGATACATATTTAGTACCCGCGGGCATATTTGCTGGCACGACTGCGTGACAGGACGACTTTATATAATTATGGTGTTTATTACATGGATACCCATGATGCGTTTTTAGTACTTCTACAGTTCGGTTTTCTCGTAATGCCAAAAAGATTTATATAGGTGTACAAAGTGTATAAAAGAACGGAGTCCTCCATTCAAAATGTAAATTTTCAAAAGAACAATTTTAGTAAAACCTTCATTTAAAGGCATCTGAAAATGATGGGTTTAAAAGATCTCTGCAGAGTTTTAGGCCACTTGCAACAAATACAAAAAGAACCGTTCGTACGAAAGTTGAATGAACAAGTTTTACAAAAATTCCTGAAACGCTATTTAGACAGTAGTTTTCATTAATTAGCATAAAAAATGGACTCAGCTGGACTCAGCTCTGTACATCCTATACACCAAACTGGTCAAAGACTTGGGATACGGCATCACTAGGGATGTATGCCATAAAACGTATATTTATCATTTATAGACCCGGAGCGAGGGGAATTCGGTGTAATATTTCCCGAAGTGATGATATTTTCCGAGGGGCTTTGCCCCGAGGAAAATATCTTCACTGAGGTTTCTATCGCCGAGTCCCCCGAGGGGAGAGTCTATAAATGATATATTATACCGAAAGTTAAAGAACTCACTAAGTGAGTATATATATACATACGTCTTGAAAATCTTTGGTTAAATCAAATCTTCTGTTCGAAATTACAAACAACACTAGCTCGCGAACGCCATATTGTTTCAGAGCGTGTTGCCCACGCGTTACGCGTGAGCGTGGGATACTATAATATCCCACGGTGGATCATCCGTGGGATATTATAGTATCTCATGCTGGATTGCGAAATCATGAATTTGAGTGAAATACCATAAAAAATCGATTTGTCATGTGGTACAAATGATGTTTTTTCATTGGACAATTTGAATTTCAGGTATAACATCAAATCTGAAGTTCCATGTTTAGTTATTACCATGTTTAGTTACTTACTTATTATTTTAGTTAGTTCCATGTTTAGTTATTTAGTAATTATTTTAGTTAGTTCCATGTTTAGTTATCTGTTGTCTCCATTGTCTCTGAGCGCCTGCATGTTGATAAAATCAGAGACAAATACGAAATATTGTAATCTTTTAGAGACAATAATCTTCCCACTGCATATAAGAAACTGTAAACAAAAACGTTCGGAGACAATAATACCCTAGTCCGTTGCCATTGTCAGAGCTGCACAAGGCTTGTTTTTCCTTGGAAACATTGCCTAGTTGGACTAGCTTCGAGACTTATGACGCCTAAAAGTAAAACATGCATTGTAATGATAGTGATTAATAATTTTTAAATTTTTAGACTTTTTATAGTTCTTTAATTGTATTTATAACCATAAAATATATAAACCGAATAAAATACCTAAGTATATGGTAAAACCGTATCCCGTTATTTATTTTACATATATGGAAATTTCTATTTTTATTTTCCCTTTATATAGCCTATATAGAAATCGTACAGGCCTTCTCTTACTTCGAGCAAATTATTTACCCTTAACAATGCATGAAAATCCATGCCCTCATTCTGACTAGACTATAGCTACTAATAACAGAAATTAGTACTCTATACAGTGAACTTATTAATAACTTTTTGTCAGTCATTTTGACGGATAAATATTCTAAATAAACTTTGTATCTCAAGACTCTAGCTTTTCCATTCGCCCATAATTTTACATAGCAAGGGTTTAGGTGGCTAACCCCCAAAAAAAAGGATAAGATTCCCAATTGTGTGTATTTTGTAAGATTATATGTATAAAAATTGGGCGAATTTAGAGTGAAAATTCAAGAAAGATGAGAGACACCAGCAAATGTATTAAATATTTCAAGTTAGAAATATGTTAAGTCCCAAAAATGTTTTAATCACCGTCGCCAACATTTCCAAATTTTGCCACTGCCACTGCTATCAAATGCGTATCAGTGGCGTGCTGGGTACTATTTTTCTGGGGAGGCCAGTCGGCTGGCAACTAATATGCGCCCCTATAATATTACCTTTGATAAACGAGGGCCGAAGGCACGAGCCGAGCGCCGCAGGTGCGAGGTTTGTCTAGGGGGGTCCGGGGGCATGCCCCCCAGGAAAATTTTTGAATTTAGAGTCTCTAAAATGGCATTTCCTGGACTTTGGGGGAAGATTTGACAGAAATCTGATGGTCAGGAAACGGCATTACAACGTGTCGAAATTTGAAAATTGGTTAGAATTTAGTAGTAGCACTTAAATTGGGCAATGCTAACTACTTCCAGCAATTAATCTAATCCCAATTCTATTCTCTACTGATCTGAATACATTTACAATTTACAGCTCTTTTATACAATAACACACGAACCCCACGCATATGCATTTTAAGGTTTCCTTTCCTGGCTGCCAAAAGGGCGTGTTTCATCATTATCTCATTACTTACATTACTCATGTTTCTTGCGCAAACAACTAAATTGCGTACACAACTTTACATTATCATAACTTCAACTATCTAATTTGCGCCGCTCTCGTGATTCGTGAAGCATAATAAAGGGCATAATATAAGGGTATAATACCAGCAAAAAAGGGCATAATTCCCGTGATCGCTTCGAAGCCTGGTCAATATTCCGGTAATGAGACATTGCGCGTGTGATAACTGATCATGTTTCTACATGAACGAGTGATTTCGTTTGAGTCGTGAGGTAGCAAATACGGTTAGACAAAATAGTCTGCAATTTAATATACTCACTTTGTCGCATATGCGCTTAGTCTGTTTATAAGTCTATAAACACATCTTTCCTTGGCGGAATTAGTAACTATATTTTTTCGAATGCGTTTCTTTCCACCTACTTTCAAAATTCGGCGTGGGATCGGCGCCCCCTTTTCATTTTTGCGCACCCCCAAAAATTGCCAGCTGGGGGGGGGGCCGTGGCCCATGCGTATCCAGAGAGATGGCCTATCTTTGTGCAGGGTTTGAACGGAATAAGAAAGCGTCTCTAAACTCTATATTTCGAGCGAAAGTTCTTTGTCAGAAGCGTTATATTAGGACTGTTAGAGTTATAAATAATAACATTTAGGTCAATCAAAATGACACTGAATATTAGCCTTGTAAGTTGTAGCCATAAATAACATTTAAACGCATATTTGTACCTATATTTGTCTATTTTACGACTGTAATTTAAACTGACATTCAGTTAGGGACAGGGGCGTAGGTTTGTACAAGCTAATGTCACTGTAAATACTAAATTAACATCAAAGGTGCCCTTTTTGTTTCGAAATTTCCAAGTTTTAAAAAAAATTTGGTCAAAAAGTGCAATTTCGGTATGGTACGACGGGAAAATTTTTCTTCTCCCCCCCGGTGCCAACATTTCCGGGAAAATGTTTTAAGGTGCCCTTTTCCCCAAGCCGATGGCGCGAAGCGCCATGCGAGGGTACTAATTCCCCTCGGCTATTTACACCCGCGGGGAAGCGAAAGCATTAGCGAAGTCTAAAGTTCATCAATAATCGCGGGCCTGACCAACGATCTTGAGTGGGTGGTCATCCTCACTGATCTCAAAAATATGGCTGATTGCTTGTAGGAGTGGGATAAGCAAAATCTCAATTGTAAAAGATATATATCTGGAAAATCGTTTCATAATTCATATACAACAAGCTTGAAGCAATTTTGTTTGAAGAAATGAGAAGAATTGATTTACTATGGGTAATCGTGAAATATACGGCAAGTTTTCTTTGAATATTTAATGTTTACGAATTTTGTTGCTTTAACTTTTTGCCTAAAAACATGAACTGTTTTCCTTTCCAACGAAGCTCTAAGTTTCATAAATTACCTTTTAATTTGAGAAAAAATCTTAGAATGTAAAGGCGAAGAAATTGATTTGAAGACTGAACTGAAATTGCCTAACAATTTGTTTTATTTGTATTAAACTGTTTTATTACTGTGGGAAAACAATTTATCGGCAAAATGTAGTTTAGTTGAATGAACATTTCAAAATATTTTACGAAACGTTTCAAGTTAAATTTTACATTAAATAATCAAAGCTCACAAAATGCAAAATAATATACCTACAGTATATATTTCGGAAATTTATTGTTGTATAGTTAAAAGTACGAATCTTTCAACTATTTTGCAGTTTTGTACAAAAAAATATGAAAAAATTAAAAATTTAAGAATATCGTGTTGTCATGGCAACACTTGAGCGCGAGCCTGCGTTCAGTGTTGGTCATTTCTGAATACTTCATGTTAATTTAATATTTGGAAAATATTGGCGAAGGGTTACTGCATGCATGTATTTCTAGTCAATACCCTAAACTGCCCCTAGGAGCCGGTGCCCCCCCCCCCAATCTTTTGATGCTTCCTACGCCCCTGGTTAGGGAATACTCACCGCTCGTGGACAATTAGTCTGACACTCAGTTAGGGCAATTTAGTACAAGTTGCCTTAATTACATGATCCATTATACTGTAGGCCGGTTAGGCTTGCTGTAATGCAGTTTACTCGTTCGCCCAAAGCTCTGCCTCTGCATGGAACATTTGCGGTCTTCAGAAAATAGTTTATCACCACATTAGTATGCGATCACAGAATGGATACTAGACCAGCAGTGTCACTCATTTACAATGGTAGTTACTTGTTAAGTTTTACATGGAGAGTTATGGAGGCAAACAATGTGTGAATTAACTTTGGTGCATGATTATATTTAATGTTTCTTGTTGCAGTCAACCGCCTTTCGCGCATGCCGATTTAACACTACCAAAGCCTAAAAAAGATTTAGGGTTATGCAACCATGTATGCCATTCAATAATCTAAAACTGTCTGTACCATGCAGTGTGGGTATACAGTCGAACCTCTATTAAGCGGCCCTCCATTAAGCGTCCACCCTCTATTAAACGGCCACATATCGAAGTCCCGAAATATTTGTAATACAAATACTATAAACTATCCCTCTATTAAACGGCCACCCCTATTAAGCGGCCGCGGCCACTTAAAGAGCGGTCCCAAATTATGTTTTATGTCAATTTGTACCTCTGTTAAGCGGCCAGTCTGCAGGATTTACTTGGCGCAACACCTTGTCACGTGAGCGTAAAATAAAAGTCGAGCTAATTTGCTTTATTTTTAAAATAAGGCTTAAAAATTATGTTTTAACACATGCCACTTTACACCTCAAAAGCTTTACACCTCAAAAGCATTGACTACGCTCAGGGTCTATTATATGCGTACCTCTATTTAGCGGCCACCTCTATTAAGCGGCCACAAAGCCGATCCCCGAGGGTGGCTGCTTAATAGATGTTTGGCTGTAGTACCAATGTGAAAATGCTGTGCTGAGTGGTTACATATATTACTACCTAAAAAAAAGTTTCTGCTACTTTTTTAGAATAGGTAATAGCATGGTTTCTAATGCAATTTGGATATAACATGCACGAGTGAGATTTTCAAAGACCTCAAAATAGCACGAGTCCGAAGGACGAGTGCTATTTGAGGTCTTTGAAAAACTCACGAGTGCATGTTTATCCAAATTTCACGAGAAACCATGCTATTACTTATTAATAATTTACATAAGAATGTTCGAGACAATTGTAGTTTTAACTTATGCGTTTATAGCGAACATTCCACTGGCAAAGTTTTCCTGGCTTTGTTATATCACATTATACAACGCTAATAGCTTGAAAATTCCACTCAACTGTGTAATTTTTGTTGGTATTGTTGCTCTATTGTGTTTGCCCTATTTGGCATGATGGCTTCGCGAACCCCGAAAAAGCTTATTATGCAAAAATGGATCATGCAATTTCGATCGGCGATATTTAATCGGCTAGCTCGTATTTGATCATTTTTGCTTGGAATGATATAAAAAAGGTGTCAGTCAATAGTTAGACACTAATCCTTGTTAATATGAAACAAGTAGTATCTATGCACGCGTATACGCACTTTGCCGGCTATCAGCTCTGTCTGACGCGGCTCGAACTAAATTAAATGATAGAGTTGTTTAATTTACAATATAACAGCCATATATAATAGTCACATACAAAATAAGAAATATCAAATAGATACATTTAATTTCGTGTGACCCAATAAGGAGTGAATAGATCCTGCGTGCCAATTTTAATTCACATCAATAGGCAGATTATTGCATAAAGCTGTGCTGAGTGGTTAATATTATTACTACCTTAATAATATACATAAAGATATTACTCGACTGTGATTGGTTGATTTCAGTGCAGTTAATCCCAAACAGCAGTGCAATTTTCTGTAATTACAGTGCAATTTTCTGTAATCACAGTGCAATTTTCTGTAATCACGGTGCAAAAGTCTTTAACAAACTGATCTGATTGATGGAAAAAGATTGTGATGATTAAATCAACCAATCAGTTTAAAGCAATTTAGTTTAAAGAAGTAACGGTCACAGATTGCTTCAAAACAAAACAGACATG